CCGTAGCATATCCTCGGACAGGTTGCCCTTGATGAAGCTGTAGCGTATCAGCCACGAGTCCACGCGGCGCAGGTGCGTCCGCGACAGGTAATGGTCCAGGGCGTTGCGCATCGTCCGCATTGCCGTGTGGCACAGGTGGCAGCAGTCCCAGTGGAACAGCGACTGCAGCTCTTGCGGAACTTGCGATGTGGTCGACGGTTCTATGCAATAGATATCAGTTAGTTATCTAGTTATCAACAACTGCATGAAAATACGAATTTTAAAGCTCAAGAATTATATAGATATAAATATGTAAATATTTGTATCGTAACTGATATATAGAAATATATATACTATACTGTTATGGAGGAAATTTCAATTAATTTTAAAGAATAGATGAGTGAATAAATGCAATTTCAGCAGGTTTCCCATAATTTCAGCTGAGTTTTAGATTAGTTTGAGTAGATCTAAAGGCTAAATTTGAAATGATTTTAGCACTGCTGCTGCAAGTATTTTCAACTTGCATTTCAGCTTTAAGCCACCCAAGTCGACTCACCCGTAAAGCTGCGCTTATACTTTTGCTGCTCGTGCCGCTGATAGTCGAGGTCCTGCTCCAGTTTCTGTCGCCTGAGCAGCTGCCTCTGCCCATTCATGGGATGGCCATTGCTGTCGACGCGCGGCAGGTGCGCATAGAGGGGTGACGATCCCTCCATGCGATACTCCAGCGGATCCCCACTGGGCAGATAGATGCGCTGCCGCGACTGCTGCTGGTTGGCAATGTAGTCCTTGATGCTGCAATAGAATGCCGGCTCGTAGGGCTGCGGCCTGTAGCCACTCGAGCCCAACGCCGGTTGGCTCGGTGCCTCGCGATTGCCATTGCCGAGTCTCTTCGGCTGACAACGCACTCGCTCAGTGCTGTTGGCGAAGCTTTGGCTCCTGCTGGGTTTGCGCTGCTGCTTGTAGCCGTTGAGCGCCCTCTTGGGCAGCCGCTCCTCACGTACGTTTGCCGGCTCCCGCGGAGCTGGGTTGTATTGATGCCCATTGCCCTGAAAGTTACCTGTCTGAGCCTTTGGTGGGGAGGCCTGCCCACGGCCAGTATATGGCTTCAGCTGCAGCTGGGACTCGGTCTTATTGTGACGCGCTGTGAATGGCTCGTGTAAGCCCGGTAGCTCGATGGGGCGTGACTGGCAGGCATTGATCACTTGCTCAATAGTCTCCAGCCCCTCCAAATGCTGGTCCGCCCAGAGCGTCTCGAACTGCAGCGGACTGCGGCGCTGGTTGTGCAGCACGGCCATGAAATGGTCGCGCGTGATCTTCGATGCGCCGCTGGCATAGGCTGCGTTCTGGAACGTGGTGATGCCGTCGGTGCTGGGCGTGGGGCCCATGTTCCCAAAGTCCTCACGTTCGTGCACCACATGCACAGCATCCTGCATCAGGATCAGCTGCGGTGCCTCGCCATCTTCTGCCACCATTGGCAGCACAGCCTGGGGCTGTGCGCTGGGCTCCAGGGCGCCGTGCACCAGACAGGGCAGCTTCAGCTGCTGAGTGATCGCCTTGGCCTGGGCCATGTTCATCTGCTGGCCGTCGCCCTCCAGACAGTTCGGCGGCAGGTTCACTTGGTAGCGATAGACGACATCCTCGTCGGCGCGGCGCAGCTCCACCAGCACTGGCAAATAGCCGGATCGAGTGCGCGGCTTGGGCAAAGCAGCGGCCAGCTTGCATATGTTCCGGGCGCACAGCAGGGCGATGCGCTCGTGGACGGGCGGTGTCCGCGGAGTCAGTTGGGATTTGCGTGCCAACATTTCTTTGATTCTTTTAATTCTCGATTTCTGCTCGATTCGGGGTTGCTTAACGGTTGCTTACGCTGTCTTGCCGGCGGAGTGTTGGGCGGCTTGTCGATGCTTCACATAGAAAATAGAGAACTCGGTTTGTCGTCGAATGGGTATGGGAATGGCTTCTATACACTTTGGGCCGCGCGAGATTGTTCGACCGCTTAACATTTAACAATACATTTGAATTTGTTGGAATTGGTGTTTAAAATGTGTGAAAAGTTTCGACACCAATCGAAAAATACATAATAAAACACGTCCAACGATGGATCTGTCAAAGCTAACTACGACTCAACGTTCCATCCGGCAAACAACTCTTATTATTCACACAACTCTATCGCATGCTTACGCACAACCCTAAAATGACTATCGATAGTTCTGCAATCATGAACTGACAGTTCTGCTTCTGTATTTTATTTATTATTTGCTTGGTTGACTAAATTAAATATATCATATAAATGTATATTCTTCTGATAGTTCACTTTCTGTGTATCAAAGCGAAAACTAAATGATTACAATATTTCGGACCCATTCTTATTTCGCTTCGCTATGCAGCTGTTGTGTACTCAAAAAATGCTTTTACATACCTGATATATATAATAAATAATAGTACATAATTCTGAAGTAAACTATTTCGTATATTCAAACTGACGGAACTCAAATGAAATTTCAAAATTTTCGTCGCGTACTTCACAAAGTAAATCTTAATATATGTACAAAAAATTTTATCAGTATAAAAAACAGTGCATATAAATATTAAAAAAAAAAATTATATAAATACTTATAAATTGATATAAATATTCATAAAAATATACATATATTTGAATTATAATGATAAAATATTTTTAAAATACTAGAATAGAAAAATAAAATTTTATGTATTTTTTAAAATTATGAATAAAATATATTTGAAAGTATTAAAAAAAAAAAAAAAAAAAATATTAAATTTGTTAAAAAAAAAAAAAAAAAAAAAAAAATTAAATGCAAATGAATATAAATGAACTTAAATTTAAAATCTGCATATATGTGTTTTATTTCCTTATTTTTTTTTATTTTTATTAATATTTAGCAAAATGGATTTCAAAAATAGCTAACTAACTAACCATAAATTCCCAATGTTTTTCCGCATCTCTGCTATTCCCACACAAATTCAAAGATTTTAAATATTTTATCATGTGAGTCCTTGTTAGCCTCGTAAGCAATTACTGAGCACAGATACTCTTAATGGCAAACATATTTCACAATTTATGAGGTTTGCTTGAAGGGCTTTAAGTTGAACCATCTGGCGCCATAATTCAGGAGCGTCTCAATTCAAAAGGCTTCCCTCAAGGCCGGCTCCAACGCGGAGCCAAGTTTAGCATTTGTAAATGTCAGTTGTGGCATCGAGAGGACCCCAGAGAGCTCTTGGGGCTGAAGCACACGGCAGGGCAAGCAGCAAAGGAAATACAGCAGAGCTTTAAATATTTGCGACAAACTGCTTTATAGAGTAGAGCTCAAAGAAAGACAAAAAAGGAATGAGTGAGAGAGAGAGATAGAGACTGAGACTGAGACTGAGACTGAGAATGCGAATGAGTACAGACATATGTGACTGCCTGGAGCATTAAAATAATGTTTAGCGCGTGATTTTGTGCCAGGTTTTGTGCTTCCGCTGGCAGCTTGTGGCATCAATTGTCAGCGTATAGCTGCCGGCCGGGTTTATCGAGGCGCAGCAGCAGCAACAGCAGCAGCAGCAGTAGAAGCAGAAGCGCACAGGTGCCACAGTGGCAGGGCACGACGACTGCCAACATCAATAACACTAATGGGAAAAGGATAAAGATAAGCATTAAATAACACACGTACGCATGGCATTTGAGGCTTATGGCGAGGCCCGTGACGTTGATAGCCCCAAGATGGGGCAAACTTCGAGCGCTGGAGAGACCAAAAGTGAAGACTCCATGGATGTGACTGTGTATGTGTGTATGTGCGTATCTCTCAGTGCGTGTGTGTGTATGTGTGTGTGCTTGCCAAATTATTTGCCCCGCGGCCCTTTGCGTGGGCGTGGCAGCGTGTACGTGCCAGCTGTTAAGCGCCACATGGCTTGCCTTAACCCCCAACTCCAGCGCCCGCGTCTCGCCTCCTGCTCCGCCTCGTGCTCCACATTCAAGCGCTTTGTTCACTGCGCGCATTTTTCACATTTTGCGCTTCCGTTTCCGCCATTGTCGCTTGTCGCTTGTCCCGGCCCGCCTCTGCCCGCCTCTGCCCTTCTCTGCCCGGCTCCACTCGGCTCTGTCCCAAATTGTGTCACATACACACGTGAGCAATTTAAAGTCAGGCCATTGTGCGCCCCCTCCCCTTGTCTTTGCGTTCCATTTCAACTGCAAACTTAATTTTCAAGCGCGCCTCGCGGCGTGTAAATATGCGTACAGCATCTGAAATTTATGAATCGTTTTACCTACGAATATGGAAATTCGTATGTGCATTGATTTGCCCCAAGAGCCGCAAATGAAATGCCCATGGGACTCCTGCTGTCAAGCTGTCTAGCTGTCATTCGCCTCATGCAAAACAAATGATAAAATTATAATTTAATTGATAGACTGTCTCATCAAGAGTATAGCGAGTTTTTCAGCTAAACGTTTATTAAAGCAGAGAAAATCTCGGATCTCCTGCAGTTTTAAATTCATATTTCAAATGGTATAATCTTAACAAAACTTAACAAAATACATAATAAGTAAAGTACTGTGTTGAATAGTCGTACATACATTATTAATTGAACAGCTGAAATCTCTAGCTTTAGTGGACAGTCAGGCAGACAGAAATGGCAAAGAATACATATAGAATATGCCATGCCATTTGCTGCCTGTTACATATACTTCACAGAGCCTTTATATCTAAATTTTGTATACTCAATAGATCCAACAGGCAACCAAATCCTCTACTACAGCGAGTTGTAAGTTTGGTAAGTAATTGTAATATAATAATAGCTGCTTTCTGATATTATGATGCTTCTTGTTTAATTGAAAAGGTGGACTGCTAATCCATCAATAGTAGCCGCCTCCGATCTCCACCAATGAAAGTCATTGAGGAGTGTCAAATCGTAGTCGTAGTATGACTGAGTAATCAAAAATTATCTTCCACTGCATGTAAACTTTCCCAACTAAGACGCCATGTTGAAAATTTCAACAGCTGCGTATTGCGTATAACTTCAAATATCGCTTAAATATTAATTGCCATTTATTTTTCTATATATTTTCATGTATGCTTTTCTTTTTTCAACCACAACCAAAACTTTTCGAATTGAAAATGTACGCAAGATTAATTTTTGCCATACTAATTAAGCCTAGATCTAGCACTCGCTTATTTGTGCCCATACCTAGCACAATTACTAATCACGCGATCGTGGACCAGCCCCTGCACATTCTGCGAAAGCATATAGTCGTAGTGACTGAAGCCTTCCTGCTGAATGTACGAGTAGTCGACAACATTGGGCAGTTTATCCTTCAGTTGCTGAACATCGGGCAGGCTGGCCAGCCAGTCGTCTTGCGAGTGGTGCAGTGCCACTTGACAGGGTATTTGGGTGATGTTGTAGGCCGGCGGCTGTGGCTTATTATATTGCTGTAAATTGAGCACCTCGCCATTATCGAAGGCAGCGAATTCTTGGTTACTGAGCAGCTGCGAATAGTGATAGATCTGGAAGGCGGACGCGCCCTGCGACGAATGCTCAGCGACAATAGGCTCCAAGGTCTGTAATATATGGAAATCATTCATGTAAACGTGGTATTCATAGTCTGTTAGTACTAAGAAATATGATATGATATATGATATGAGGCATTCATACGAGCTGTGACAACTGCTACGCCAGTCGGTAGTGCCCAACTAGAAAACTAGGATAGATAGCTTAAGGGACAGTCGGACTAGATCAATTCAGCTGGACCACAATTTGCTTTATGTGGTGTAACACGTCTCCATTCTCTCTTAGCAGCTTAGCTCTAGGTTGAACGACTTACATTGTTAAACTGATTCCAGCCGAATCCGCATGTCACATAGTCAAAGATGCGGCATATTTCGCTGCCCAATTGGTTGCTCTTGCAGATTTGATCGTGGAATTGCTTGATTAGCTTGTTATCCTTTGCGACCGAGAATCCACCAAGTAAATTGAGCAAAACCTGCAATTGAGATTAGAAATGCATGAGATTAGAAATGCTCGATTCAAAAATAACGGCACTCGCACGGAATACGTACTCTGATATTTCCCTTGAACAGAGACAGGAATCGCAGCACCGGACTCTGTGTATTTTTCAAGTAGACCGTGGGCGAGAGAGCCTGCATGAGAGACACCTTCTTGGCATACTGAGGTAGCTGACTGGCCATCACAAAGAAGGCGGTACAGCCCTGGGAGTGGCCAACGTATTGCAAGGTGCTCTTGCCCGTAACTTGTAAGATTTTGTCAATGCTGGCCGGCAGATCGAAAACACCGATTTCATGGAACGAGAAGCTCCAGTAGTCCGCTGGCCGAATATGCGGATCCTCATGCTTGTGCGAATAGATGTTGCCGCGCGTATTCAAAAGCCAAACATCGTATCCCTGGTCGTATAGTATATAAGCCAGGCCGTTTGTCGGGCCCATTTCCACCCAAGACGCTGAACTGGACATGAGGCCGTGCACGAGCAGTACGACCGGTCCTCCCGGGCGTGGTATGCGATGCAGGGCCAGTTTATAGCCGTCCGATGTTTTGACGATGTGCACCTCCACAGGGTAACCATACTTCTGGATCAGCCCCACCTGTTCCATAGGCCGACAAATAATCATAGATTTAATCTTAGTTTAGGCACATCTCGCACTTACCGCGTTTAGCTTCGCGTCCACATTAATGTCGGTATCAGTCAAGGGAACTGTGGGCTTTATTGCAGCAATCGGTGGGGGACTCTCACTAAATGAAACGCTAACAATTTGCGAATCTGTATTTGTGTTGTCCCATGGAAGTTTAGTTTGGAGTTGTTGTTGTTGTTGTTGTTGTTTCTTAGCGAATGGGCAATCAACAACTAATATTAATGGTTGTTGTCCACATGGTGGCTGCGAACAAGGTGGGTATCCAGTTGGGTATACGGGTGGGTATCCAGTTGGGTATACGGGTGGGTATCCGGTTGGGTATACGGGTGGGTATTCGGTTGGGTGTACGGGAGGGTATCCGGTTGGGTATACGGGTGGGTATCCGGTTGGGTATACGGGTGGGTATTTGGTTGGGTGTACGGGAGGGTATCCGGTTGGGTATACGGGTGGGTATCCGCATGGGTACTTACAACCTGGTTGTACACATGGGTACTTACAACCTGGTTGTTGGCATGGGTACTTACAACCTGGCTGTTGGCATGGGTACTGACAGTCTGGTGGGCATGGGTACGGACAAACTGGTGGGCATGGGTACGGACAACCTGGTTGGCATGGACAACCTGGTTGACATGGGTGCGTACAAATTACAGGTGGTCGAGTGGCGATGGATGTAGTTGGTTTTCGGGTTGTGGTAGGTGGGGGTGTTGGGAATGGTGGAGTTGTAGGAGGTGGATATGTAGCGGTTGTAGGAGGTGGATATGGTGGAGATGTGGATGGTGGATTGGTTGGATAAGGTGGATATGTTGGGTATGGTGGGTATGTTGGATGTGTTGGATATGTTGGATATGTTGGATACGGTGGATATGTGGGATACGTTGGATATGTTGGATATGTTGGATATGATGGGTATGTTGGGTATGTTGGATACGGTGGATATGTGGGATATGTTTGGGGGGGAGGTGGCTTGGTTGGAGGAGGAGTTGGTTCAATTATGGGAGGCGGAGGAAGAGTTGGCAGAGTTACAGGAGGAGGTGGAGGTGGAAAAAGAGTTGGCAGAGTTGGTAGAGTTGGAAGAGTTACAGGAGGATATGGAGGAAGGGTTGGCAGAGTTGTAGGCGGATTAATGATGGATCCATTTCCTGGGTTACATGGACTTCCTGGTGGGTACACTATAATAATAGTGGGACCTGGCTTTTCTTGCGGAGGAAATGTTATAGGCGGATGAGGGAATGGCGTATTCCGGCAATAACTATTATACCACTTCACTAGATGATTGTGTCTTATTTCCAGCTTGCTCAATTCCACTTTCACAGAAGATAAATACAGCTGCTTCTGGAAACAGTCCAGTAAGGCCCCATCGACCAAAAGAACGATGGCAGAAAGCGCCAGCAGCACTGAATGTAATATTCGGTTCATCTTCACTGCGTGGAGATGTCCAGTAAGCTCCAGCTTATATAGCGAAGGAGCGCAACAAATTCGTAAGACTGTGAAATCAATTGAACATGGACTTTAAGTAACCGTACCCACTCAATTATATAACCAGTATCGGACCATGCTTAACGGGCTTACAGAGGAATTTTCAGCGTGACTTATTATGACAACAACGTTCTAGGAGACCCTCAATCCTCTAATCGAATTAAAAATCTTTTGTAGAACTGCTAATGAAACATTTTGCTGTCGTCAAAGCCGAAGAGTCGATGCCAGAGCCTCCCTTTCTTGTATCCTCCCTCTTCTTGTATTATACTCTATCAGGGTTTTAATCGATAACACTAAAGTGGGAATAGTTATCGATTCTTAAAACTCGAGCTAGGTATAATACCGAGACCTACAAATCTCTTATACTTTCTGAACATATATATATTCCTGATCAGGATGAGGAGCTTGACTCGATTCACCCCTGTTTGTTAACCTGCCTGTCCGTCTGTCCGTTTATGTATATATATATATATATATATATATATATATATACCATATGGGGTCTGTCACGCCTACATTTCCCTGTTACAAACATTTTAACATAACCATTATACTCTGATTTCCCAAGTAAATAAAGTCAAATTGTGCAGTGGAATAATACACATGAGGGATTTATATTATATTCGTTTACAATATTATATGTTTTATAATATGCTTATTTATTATTCCCATTTTATTGTGTATACAAATCATAGTTCCCTGTGTGTCTTATCCAGTGGTTTAACTGCCTAACAGATTAAACAGCACAGTTTAATTCTTGAAATATGGACATATGTTCACATTTATATTTATAGAGCCTTGTCCGCACGTAGGTGGTGGTACTGGTTGAATGACTCCCACATCGGGCAAGGACATGTGACAGTACTGCTCCAACCATTGCACCTGCTGTCGCAGCATATTCCTTTGGTCCAGAATATTTTGACGTTGCTGATTCAACACCGCCTCTTGAGCCTGGCAGTCATACGAATGGACAAATATTCCATGGCCACTGAGCCCCAAAAGTGCTAACAAAATCAAGAAGCTCATTGCAAGATCTTTCAGTACTAAGTGGATCGATCGGCGTCTACTGCTTATATAGGGTCAGCGTGCTAACGAGGCGTAGCACAAGGCAAATTCAATTATACGAATCAATTGACAACGGGCTTAATGATTCCTGAAATAACGTCGTCTCAATATTTAGCGGAATGCTTAGAAAATTAATTTATTACGCCCCCAATGGGCGTACACATATATGTCGGATATTTCTGTAGATTAGATAATTTTGCGGAGTGCAGCGTGTCCCTACACTGTTCAATCAATATCACCCAATATTATGCATGAACCCATATATCGATAAGATATTCCATTCGAATAATACTATCATCTCCGACACATATACATATATATCCAAGGCGAATATATACTCCTAATTTCAAGACATTTATGAGATATTATATTGTATTGCTTTCCCAATTATCACGCCATGAGAAATTGCATTGCAAAAGCCTTAGCGCGAGGTTATATTCAGCATCTTGAGCTCAAAAGTTTATACGGACGGACGGAAACTTCGTAAATGAGTATATAGAAAGGGTTTCTGAGAAAGACAGGGTTTTTTGCTCATTAGCAGTGTCTCTAGTACATAACATTAAACAGTTTTGAAAATAATCTTCATAAGAATATACTCGAATCCAATTTGTTGCATCGCGCAGTTTCTATTTGAGAAACTAATTTTAGGAATACTAAAATAATATAGTTTAATTATAATACTCAAATGACCAGAAATCGTTGTGGAAACCATTTCTATAGGCAGCTTTCATGGGCTTTAAGTGTAAGTGTATAGACTCTCCTTCTATCATATCATATCATATCGATTGCTCAACTTGTCCTTTCACATCTTTAATTGACTTAAATCAGGAATTGCAGACGTTTGCCGCACCACTTTAGTGAGCTTTTAGCGAGAGTTACTTGAGTTTATCCACGAGCTCATTTGCCGTACATTCATGTTAATTGTCAAGTGTAGTGCTGTGCCTCGTTCTGCTCTCCTTTAAGAGTAGATCGAGCTGCTGCTCGCTGCTGTGCTTCTCTGCTTCTGTTGCTATTTTGCTCAACTTGTGTCGCCTGCTTGTTTGCGCAAATTCAAATTCGATTATGCACAGGCAGGCAGCGAGCCGGAGTGGCAGCCGGGAGAGCGAGAAAGCGAGAAAAGGATAATGCCATGTCGCCGTATTAACGCGTTTGTCGCGTTCGTTGCGTGCGAAGTCGGAGTCGGAGTCGGAGTCAGAGTCAGCGTGCCACCGGAAGTAGGAGTCGACTCGAGTAGGAGACAGGCGAGCTGCCAGTTCCGGCTGCGGCAGGCTTGCCCTGGCGTGAAACGAGCTGGCAAATCGAGTTTGGCTGCTTGCCTGGATCCCGACTGATTAAAGCTCGACGCACGGCGCTTGGCGCTTGGCGCTTTCTTTGTTTGCCAAGTTCTGCGGTGATTCGCAACCTTTTTTCCAGCATATCATTAGGATGCAGTGCAGCCGACATGGCAGCCATGCACAAATGGCATATTAAGCTTCACTGACAGCCGCGTTTATTGCGCCACCCGTTGCCCGTTGGAAAGGACGAAGGACCCCGTTCATGCCCAAAGCCGTGACACATATTAAATTTCATTTCACTGGCAGTTGGAATAGGGCGCCTAATGAAGGTTAAGCAACTTTTAATGCGCTCTCGTTGTCGTCCTCTGCCTTCCACTGGCCATTTTGCAGACCATTAAATGTTTTGCCTGGCAATATGCCATATGTTTTGACATGGACAATTCCTGCTCTCCGCCTTCGCTGGCTATGCTGGAAAAACTTTTCTTATCATTTGCGAGAAACTCATAAAGACTTATGTGTGTGTGTGTGTGTGTGTGGATGTGCGATATGATATGACGATGACAGAAAATGGTAATGATGACGCCGGATCACATACGGCACATAAGCATATGCTGGGCTTAACATTACAGCGTCTGGCATCGCCACAAAGAGGCAATTTATAGACACATTGGGCATGGGATCTTAACCTCTTGCTCAAATCCTCTCGTGACTCAGACAGGAGTCGTGCGTTATGAAACATAATTGAGGTCTGCTTAATTTAATAGTATATGACATATCGATATGAATTCCAATTGTTATACAAGAATTCCATTATATGCTTCATTAATTTTATTCCAGCGTTTCTAATGGGCTGCAAGGATTATGGAATTAGGCCTACAAATTAATTTATTTATTAATAAAGCATAATATGCATTTACTAAAAGGATTGTTCGTAGCTAAAAAGATTAAAAAAAAAAAAAAAAAAAAAAGTCGAGTCCCGATAATTCGAAATGGCAAACACATTTTTTTTTTTTTTTTTTTCGATTTACACAGATATTTAAATTATAGAAAATTATCGAGAACGAATTTTTTCAAGGGGACATAATTTTTTCTTATTTATCACGATTTTCGATTTAACGGGGTACAAATTATCGAGATTCGACTACCATTCAAGTATAAAAATGTATAATATAAAATTGTTTTAAATAATACTTAAAGGCCACAAGTTAGGGAACTAAAATCATAAAAATATATCAAATTAAAATTATTTCAATTATTATAACAAATAAATATAGGATTGATTATTCATTGTAAATAGTTATTTATATTAAAACATATACTTAATGCAAAAAGATAAATAAATAATAATAAAAATGTTAGCTAAATAATAAATATAATAAATTGTTTACAATACAATATTAAGTAACTAATAAAAATCAAGAGGATATGTGAATTATTCAATTATTGATCCAGTAGATATTTTATCCATAGACAAATTGCCATCATATCTAGTTCGACCTTTGTCTATCTTTTTTTTTGTCGATTGTCTAGCTTAGTTTATTTTATATTTATTAGCATTTAATGCTCCATATTTGATTTACATATCAATTTAAATAAATTTATAGGCAAATCAACTCATGGAGACTTAATTTTCTCTATTCGATTGTTATGGATTTTATTATGTTGCTTCGCCCCGTCTGATTTTGATGTTTGCTTTTAAGTCGAATGGTTTTTTGTTGCGCTCGAGTAAATCTCTCCCTCCCCACTTGGCTGCTCTCTGCTTTGCTGGTGTGAAAAGTGCATGAAAGAAACGCTTTGAAGCGTTTCTTACAACTCTATCCACACCCACACGGACAGACAATGGGACGGACGGACGGAATAGACCAAGCAGAACGCTGTGACCAAATCAAAAACCTTAACTTCAAGTTTTGCCTTGTACATTTATTGGTATCAACATTTACATATGCCCCTCTCTCTCCCTCTCGCTCACAACAGCTCTCTCTCTCTCTCTCTCTCTCTCTCTCTCTCTCTCTGTTTCGTCCGTTACTGCTGTAATTTTACGGTCCATTGAGTGCGGAAATCGTCTCACAATCAAATTATCCAGTTCCCAGCGCCAGTCGGAAAACTTGGCCATTGCTTTAAGTTTTCCAATTAAAACAAATGCAACAAATGCGATAAAGCAAAAGAATTTGCTTGGCAATTCTGTTGTGCTGTTGCTGGAATTCTGGAATTCTAAAACTGTAAAATTTTTTAACTGGCCCAAATTTATGCGTGGAAATGTTCGTAGATGTCGTAAATTTTGGCATTGCGAGTCGACTTTCGATAGGGCACTCTTTTGTTTTGCTGGGTTATTTATGCAGTCGCCTCCTGCTACACTATCTAGCCCTTGCAGCGGGTGTTGCATGTGGCCCCCACGCCATGCCCACTTGTTTCCGCACTCCAGTCCTTAGCCGGCGTATCGCTGTTTTCTCGTTTTGTTTTCTTTCTTTGCTGGCTGTCGCGACTCCAAACACGAGAAGTCCATTTCGAAATTTATGTACACACAAATTGAAAGCGCCCTGCGAATGGAGTCGAGGAAAGTGCAAAAGAAAAGCATGCAAAAGCAAAAGCAGCCAAAAAGAAAAACCAGAAAAAAAATGACTCGACA